GCAGCCTGTACTGCTCCGCCACCTGACAAACAGGGCCGGCAGACCCTAGTGTCTGCTGAACCTCGGACACTGCAGGCGCAGTCAGGTCCGAAAGTTCAGTGAGTGTGCCTGCCCAGCAGGCACCATCCACCACCTCACACGAGGTGATGGATACAAATCCCACTCCTCCGGCGCCTCAGACGCCGAAGGATAGGCGCAACTCCTTGGAGCGCGCCAAAAAAGAAAAACCTCGAATCACAGGGCCCTCAAAAGGCCCTGTAAACTAACGCAACACCTCTGTATGCACAGCACCACACTAAATTAAAATGACACAAATACTACAGTGGAACGTCAGAGGACTGTTGAGAAACCTCGACGATATCCAGGAACTTTTACACAAACATACACCTAAAGTGCTGTGCGTACAAGAGACACACCTCAAACCGAAACACACCAACTTTTTACGTCTCTACATTATCTTTCGGAAAGACCGGAATGATGCCATTGTGCCATCCGGTGGTGTTGCCATTATAGTCAATCAAGGGATTGCATGCACACACCTAACATTACAAACATCCCTTGAGGCGGTGGCTGTTCGAGCAGTTCTATTGAATAAGCTCGTCACCATCTGCTCTCTATACATACCTCCACAACACCGTCTCGAAAAGCATGAATTCGAGTCCCTCATAGACGAACTTCCAGAACCTTATATTCTTCTGGGAGATTTCAATGCACATAGCAATCTGTGGGGTGACTCTCGCTGCGATGCTCGAGGTCGCCTGATTGAACAGCTTCTTTTTTCTTGCGGTGCATGCTTTCTGAATCGGAAAGCGCCAACATACTACAACATTGCTAACAATACGTACTCAGCAATAGACCTCAGCATAATATCCCCATCACTCCTGCCTCTACTTAAATGGGAAGTTATTAATGATCCATATGGTAGTGACCATTTTCCTATCGTTATCAGCTCATCAATAACAAGTACATGTCCTGCACAAGTTCCAAAATGGCTCACCGACAAAGCTGATTGGGGAAAGTTTCAAAAAATGACTTTATTATCTTGGACTGACATGGCGGCATTGAGCATAGAGGATGCTGTATGCTACTTTACAGCTTTCTTGGTTGATGCAGCAGCAAAATGTATTCCCCAAACATGTGGACCGTCAAGCAAACGACGAGTCCCATGGTGGAATAATGAGTGCCGTGATGCTAGAAAAAAACAAAATAAGGCATGGAGGTTGCTTAGAGACTCGCCCACAGCCGAGAATCTTGTAAACTTTAAGAACGTCAAGTCGCAAGCAAGGAGGACGCGCCGACAGGCGAGAAGAGAAAGTTGGCACAAATTCGTATCGGGCATTAACTCATACACAGATGAGTCGAGAGTCTGGAGCATGGTTGGTAAGGTGGCAGGACGAGAAGCACATTCGCTTCCTCTAGTGAACACACAAGGGGAGAGTTTGGAAGACCAGGCAAACACTCTCGGAGCGCACTTTGAACAGGTCTCCAGCTCAACACACTATAGTGAAGCGTTCCGACGATACAAAACCGCAATAGAAAAACAGAGATTAGAGCGCAAGCCCAGAACACATGAGGCATACAACGAACCTTTCTGTTTTGCTGAACTGCAGGCCTCACTTGCCTGCTGCAATAAATCTGCCCCAGGCCCGGACCGTGTGGCATATGAAATGTTGAAACACCTGCCCACTGAAACCCAGAAAGCTCTCCTCTCTCTCTATAATGCGATATGGTCTTCTGGCGAGCTACCCTCAGCCAGGAAGGAAGCTATCATTATCCCAATTCTAAAACAAGGCAAGGACCCGGCCTCAGTTTCCAGCTACAGGCCAATAGCATTAACCAGCTGTATTTGCAAAGTCTGATTAACAGGCGCCTGATGCACTTCCTTGAAATTAGTGGCCTACTTGACCCATACCAGTGTGGTTTTCGAGAGGCTCGGTCCACCACTGACCACCTTGTTCGTATCGAGGCGCAAATTCGCGACGCTTTTGTTCATAAGCAATTTTTTCTTTCTGTGTTTCTCGATATGGAAAAGGCATATGACACTGCATGGCGCTTCGGCATATTGCGAGACCTGTCACATTTAGGTGTGCGGGGTAGAATGCTGACAGTTATCGAAGGCTACCTGTCCAACCGTACATTCCGTGTCTAAGTTGGCACTCTCTTATCTCGAGTATTTGTCCAAGAAATGGGAGTGCCACAAGGAGGTGTATTGAGCTGTACACTTTTCATAGTTAAAATGAATTCTTTGCACCTGTCTTACCCACGAAATATTTTTTACTGCATATATGTCGATGATGTGCAGATTGGTTACAAATCTTTCAACATCTCAATGTGCCAACGTCAAGTTCAACTAGGGTTGAACAAGGTATCTCAATGGGCAAACAAGAATGGTTTTATACTCAACGCGCAAAAGAGCACTTGTGTCTTGTTCAGCCGAAAGAGGGGCCTCCACCATCCTGACCCCGACATTGACCTGCATGGTCAACCTCTGTCAGTGAAGACCGAGCACAAGTTTCTCGGTCTCATATTAGACACTAAGCTAACTTTCATCCCACACATAAAGTATTTAAGGGACAGGTGCTTAAAAACAATGAACATTTTGAAAGTGTTGTCACACACTACATGGGGAAGTGACAGGAAATGTTTAATTAACTTATATAAAAGCCTCGTACGCACACGCCTAGATTACGGCGCTATAGTCTATCAGTCGGCAACACCATCAGCCTTGAAAATTCTCGACCCTGTCCACCATCTAGGCATTCGCCTCTCTACGGGTGCTTTCCGCACCAGCCCTGTGGAGAGCCTGTACGTGGATTCGAATGAATGGTCGCTCCACCTACAAAGATGTTCCCTGTCCTTTTTGTACTTTTTCAAGGTGAAGGCAGACAAGAAACATTTTCCTATTTCACAATTAATGATTTGTCTTGTTCTGGCTTGTTCGAGAACCGACCTTCGGTTAGGCAGCCCTACGCGCTGCGTGTAAGGAGCTTGGCCGAAGGAACAGGTGTGCCTCTTCTTGAACCCAGTTTGATGGCTCCTGCAACATATCTGCCACCGTGGCAGTGGCAGCTTATAGACTGTGATGTTTCTTTTGTTGATGTCACAAAGCACGCACCACTTGCACACATACATACATACTTTTTAGAACTACAACATAAATACACATGCCCTGAGTTCTTTACTGATGCGTCAAAGTCAAACACTTCTGTGTCATATGCAGCAATAGGCCAATCCTTTTCTGAGGCCGGCGTTCTTCATCCTAATGCAAGCATTTTCACAGGAGAAACTTACGCAATACTGGCGGTCGTAAAACACATTAAACAGATAAAATTACAAAAGGCGGTAATATACACAGATTCCCTAAGCGTGGTCAAAGACCTGAAAACTCCTAAAAAACACAAGAACCCCGTGCTGGTGTCACTCTACTTACTTCTGTGCACACTCTACGCATCAAAACAGCATGTCGTTGTCTGCTGGGTTCCAGGGCACCGTGAAATACAAGGGAACGTTTTGGCCGACTATCTGGCTGCTTGCGCCAATGTCACTACTGCCAATGCACCAACACCAGTCCCTGCACTTGACTTAAAACCTTTTATAAAACGAAAGCTCAGGGGGTATTGGCAGAGCATGTGGGATAAACAAACAGATAATAAACTCCATGCTATTAAGCCGCAACTAGGTTATTGGCCGCCACTATCAAAATCACGACACACGGAAGTAATACTAACAAGGCTTAGGACTGGACACACACATTCTACACATTCATTTCTTCTGTCTACCGGTAATCCACCATATTGTGAGAGATGTGGAGAGCCCCTTACGGTTGTCCACATTCTCGTCCAGTGCAATGAGCTAGATGCTCTAAGAAAAAAGCACTTTTTACTGCCCTACCGACAGCAGCTCCCTCTACACCCTGGGATGCTCATCGGTAGGGATCCGCTTTTTAAACTGCAAACACTTTTTACATTTTTAAAAGAAGTGCAAAGCTTTCACCCGATATTTCGAGGTCATCCGTAGCACGACCTCTATAGAGTGGTCGTGGCTGCGGTGACTATATCTTCATCATGGCTTTATTATTATGACATTTTGCCATCAGCTATCACCACACATATGTCACGTCACTGTCATGATTTTATTACTTTCATGTTTTAACCCGCGTTAGAGCGAGGAATTTTAAGGCCCCTTTACAGCCACGCATCATATCATTGTTCATATCTGTAGTCAATTGAAATGGCGCTCCTTGGCCATCAATTGGCCCTTGCGCCACTAAAAAACTACTCATCATCATCATCAACACTTTCAAAAATAGATCACTAAACGGCTGTCATTTTTGCATCAAGCAGATTTTTAAGAAAACTTTGTCAGTAGAAACAAAGGAAACCACCATAATAGGATATTTAGGAGCTCGTGAGTATGACGTGCTTGCCTCTCATGCTGATGAATCAGGTGGAGGGCACACCGAAACTTGATAGAAAGGCTGCAGCGCGTGCAAACGAAATTGTTCGTTTGAAACACGCACATGTGCTTTCACATCACAAATATAACCAAAACAACTACCACAACGTCTTTCTAGAACATTCGTGCTGCTGCACTAAATATCTGAAAGCAATTGATTCAGTGGCTTTGATCTAAAGAATTGAAACATGCTGAAAAAAAAAATAATAAGGGGGACCTATGAGTCACACTGCTGCACAAAAGGTTAATAGAAAAAGCACTAAGACGAAAGTTTTCAATGACTTTTGCAAGGATTTTGACGTGGTTTCTTGAAATACCCACGCACACTAATGGGTGCCGTGTTGACAACGTTGACTCTGTTCATTGAGAACATCACGCTGTTCTGTCATTCTCTGTGCAAAGCACTCTGGTCAGATATTCATGTGTGCTCAGAATGTGTGCAGATGGTATTCCACAGATGGCAGTGTGTGACTGCTTCTGTCTATTTCTCAACGTTATGTCCCATTGAACTTTATTTTTTGCTGGTATATTCTCTTCTTGGACAGGCTCTCATGGCCAGTGCAGGCATCTGAAGAGGTGGTGTCCATGGTCAATGGTATTGTGCAAGTGGCGTGCGAGGCTTTGGGTGAGTAGCAACTGGTGGCTGAAGGCTGTCTTTGGAGTACTGCACTGTTTTTCTCAGCCCAGACCTGGTCATTTTGGAGATGCACTACTGCTATCATACCACTTTCACACGGGCTGACCTCTCCTGTATGCAGTAAAAGCATAGTTGAGGGTACTCACCATAAATTCCTATATATGTTACTTTTGTTGTACCAGAACAAGTGATTTCCTATTGTTCCCACAACACTAGGCTTGTGCAAAAAGTGAATTTTAAGTTCAAACCGAATTCTGATCAAATAGTAATTTAGGTTCAATAATTTCAAATGGAAATCAAATAGTATACATAATTTGCATTAACGTCACGGTTGTCACCATTTTAGGGCCTCCAGCGGCTTGACATGCTGCATGAGCTTAAATGGTGACTTCAGATTAGTGCCAGTGCCCCTCGCATTCCTTTTTTGTTCTGCTTTGGCGCAGCTCACAAACAGAAATAAGTAGGGAAAGCACCTAAGAACGAAGAACCGAATTACTCAGGTCTTATGCTGCGCTGGCGCTCTCTGATGAGATAAAAAGTCACGGTGCCCACCATCTTGGGGCCCCCTGCTGGTTGAGATGCTGAATGAGTTTAAACGGTGACATCAGAATGGTGCCAGTGCCTTTCGTGTCCCCCTTTTTTTTTTCTGCCTTGGCGCAGCTCGCAAACAGAAGAAAATGGGGAAAGCACCTAAGAACGAAGGACCGAACGACTCTGTGTCTTCTGGGCACTGACACTCTCTGATGGGATACAAAGGCACCATTCTTGCCATCTTATGGCCCCCAACTGGTTGAGATGCTGCATGAGCTTAAGCAGTGACATCAAATTAGTCCCGGTGATCCTTGCCTTCCTTTTTTGTTATTATGCCTTGGCACAGCTCGCAATCGGAAGAAAATAGGGAAAGCACCTAAGAACGAAGAACCGGAAGACTTGGGTCTTATGCTGCACTGACACTCTCTGATGAGGTAATAAGTCACAAGAAGGAAAATCTGGGCTAGTTAGTGATGGTTTATTTTTGACAACTCACAGGACAAGGATATATATGAAGTATAGGACAACACGAGTGCTGACTCTCAACTAAAGATTTATTAAAAGAAAGGCACAAATATATACACAGGTTAGCCTGCTTCGACAGAGCAACTATGCATGTGCAGCAGAGTCATTCATGTAATGTGACTTTTTGAGGACACGTGGAGCATCTACGTGCGTCAAGAAACAAGAAACCTATCTACACAACTGGCCATACTTACAAGAAACAGACTTGTGAAGCATTGCAAGATAGTTGGCACTTTATAAATTGCAGTTCCTTTTCGCTAAGGGGAACAGACGGATAGCTTATGCACCCTTCACATTCTCTGTCGATGAAGATAGCCTCTATTATCTCCCTTGTGTTCTGATGCCTATGGCGGAACAAAATGGCTGTGAGCCAATGGTGAGGGAAGTCTATGGCTTCCCTCACCATTGGCTCGCAACCCCATGGCAGGTGCAAACTGCCTGTAGCCCTCAGCGATGCCAAATGCTCCCTCAATCTAATATTTACACATCGTCTGGTTTGACCAATATATATGCACCCGCATGACAACGGCAACCTCTACACAACACCTGACTTGCATCTAATGTATCTATCTTTCTATTTTTCTGAACATGAACCGCGAGCCTTACCAACACACGATAGTTTCCTATGCAAATGGGAGCAAATATTGGCAAGTTTATTGGGGGCAGATAAGGCCACATGCACCCCATATCGGCTTCCTGCCTTCTTCTGACAGTGCGAAAAATTATGTACTCAAGGTACAACCACCAGCCTCCTTTCCTTTTGCCCTTGCTCTATTGTATTTTTTGCCGTATTAGCACCCTTAACCCACTTGACAAGGTTATGGCAGGCTCTCACGATTTCCATTTCCGGGTATCCGGACGTCTGCGGTTTTTCTAACTGGCTCTGAAAACTTTCTTTCAGAGAATGTGTGCAGCTTTTTTGTAGGACAGCGTGCAGTGCTGCGCACATGATACTGGATTTCATCGTTTCAGAATGACTAGACGAAAAGTTCAACATCGCTTTTACAGAGCGTGGTTTAAATACCCAGCACAAATGGTCCTTCTTAACTCTGAGTTTAATGTCCAGGATCTCAAGTTCTGCGCCAGCGGGTAGCTCACACGTGAATTTCAATCCCTTGCCGCATGCCTTAAAAATTCTTAGAATTTTATCTACCCTGCTACGCTGGCTGTTGTGCTCTGTGATGACCAAAAACGTATCGAAAGGTACGCAAGGCCAAGCTACCTAAGCGCTGGGCGGCTGCTTTATCAACGCAGCTGAGGAATATATGGCTTAAGATTGGGGCCACCCTTGACCCAATACAGATTCCTGACTTCTGCACAAAAAGGTCCCCGTTCCATTCACCTGCAGAGAATGTGGTTGTGAGCCAATGGTGAGGGAAGCAGATATTTTGTTCCGCCATAAGCATCAGAACACAAGGGAGATAATTGAGGCTATCTTCATCGACAGAGAATGTGAAGGGTGCATAAGCTATCCGTGTGTTCCCCTTAGCGAAAAGGAACTACAATTTCTAAAGTGCCAACTATCTTAGAATGCTTCGCAAGTCCGTTTTTTTGTTAGTATGGCCTGTTGTGTAGATATGTTTCTCGTTTCTTGACGCACATGGATGCTCCACGTGTCGTGAAAAAGTCCTATCACGTGAATGACTCTGCTGCACATGCGTAGTTGCTCTGTCGAAGCAGGCTAACCTTTGTATATATTCGTGCCTTTCTTCTAATAAATCTTTAGTTGAGAGTCAGCGCTCATGTTGTCCTATACTTCATCTGCGTCCTTCTTGCACTGTGAGTTATCGAAAATCATAAGTCACGGTTGCGACCATCTTAGGGCCCCCAGCTGATTGAGATGCTGCATGAGCTTAAACAATGGCATCAGCTTAGTACCGGTGCCCCTCGCGTTCTTTTTTTGTTTTTCCTTGGCGCAGCTCGCAAACAGAAGACACTAGGAAAAACTGCTAAGAACAAAGGACCGAACGACTCCGTGTCTTCTGCTGCACTGACACTCTCCGATGAGATAAAAAGTCGCAGTTGTTGCCATTTAGAGCCTCCAGCTGGTTGAGATGTTGCATGATTTTAAATGGTGGCATCAGATTAGTACCAGTTCCCCTCGCTTTCCTTTTTTGTTCTGCCTTGGCGCAGCTCGCAAACAGAAGAAAATAGGGAAAGCACTTGAGAACGAAGGACCGAACGACTCCGTTTCTTATGATGCTGCGACATTCTCTGATGCGATAAAAAGTCACGGTTGCCGTCATCTCAGGGCCCCCAGCTGGTAGAGATGCTGCATGAGCTTAAACGGGGACATCAGATTAGGACCAGTGCCCCTGGCGTTCTTTATTTGTTCGTCCTTGGCACAGCTAGCAAACAGAAGAAAATAGGGAAAAGAGCATAAGAACAAAGGACCGAACGACTCCGTTTCTTATGATGCTGTGACACTTTCTGATGGGATAAAAAGTCGCGGTGCCATCATTTTAGGGCCCCCCAGCTGGTTGAGATGCTTTATGAGCTTAAACCGAGACATCAGATTAGTGCCAGTGCCCCTTGCGTTCCTTTTCTATTCTGCCTTGGCGCAGCTCACACAAAGAAGAAAATAGGGAAAGCACTTAAGAACGAAGGACCAAATGACTCTGTGTCTTCTGCTGCTTTGACACTCCCTGATAAGATAAAAAGTGATGGTTTCCGCCATTTTAGGGCCCCCGGTTGGTTTATATCAATCAATCAAATGTTTATTTCCAAAAATTTTCTTACAGTTTATTGGGGGTCCTTCAGGTGGAAAGCTGTTGCAAACAGCTTGGGAGTGCCTTAAAGCCCTTTATAGCAGCATGCACTTTACACTTTGTTCAACAAAATAAACTAAGTAAATGTACATAAGTTGTATAAATTACATATTAATAGGAACATATAAGAAATGAGTTTGTGTACAGCAGTGTTTGTTTGACAAAGTTATTGAAAAGCAAGAAATCAGTAAAAAAATGCAACTTCATGTGATAACTAAATGTAGAAGTAAATACCATAAATATAAATACCACCAAAATGAATACCATAAAAGTGGTTCTCAAATGAGAATCCGCAGACACTAGGGGGTTTGCGAATCCACTTTTGTGATCGGCGAAACCCTCAACTGCTGTTTTTTTTACATTTCTTGGAGTTCAGTCCGGCCATGACTCAAAGTAAATACCGAAACAGGTTGAATTTGCCTGTAGATATGCAACTGTGTTTAAGTGCGACTGCGTCACATATTGATGAACTGTCCAAAATGAAGTGATGTGGCACGTTTGTTTGATGTTTTGGTAGCAATAACAGGCACCTGTTTCACGCTCCAATTGTGTTTATTTACCTAAGTACTCCCCCCCCCCCTCCCTCCCCTCTGCTGCAAGGGGTCCCCATCACTTCCACCAGTCCACAAGGGGTCCCCGACACGTCCATGATGGCTGAGAACCACTTCCATAAAATATTGAGAACGGTACTTTTAGCAATTGTTTACTAAGTCTATATACTTGTTCTCACACAAGCTTCATGCATAGGTGGGACCAAAAAAAAGATGTCATATCTCTTTTCGTGTTAAGGCATGAATATCAATATTTTCCTTTTCATACTTATTCAGATGTGAAGGGACATTGTAGATGATTGATTCCATTAGATAATTGGTATGCCTTTTCACAACAAGATATTTGTCTTGACTACGAATGCATTGGTCACTGTACTGCCGTTGTAGTCCTGACAGTGATTTTGTAAGTGAAGAGAGCTTTTTAGTGGAAAACAAGTATTAATAGAGCAAACACCTCAGTAACTCTGATTATGCTAAATCTAGCAAAAAGAAGTAATGTTGTGTGGAGATATGGAATGTTGGCTATGATTCGGAATACACGTTTCTGAAGAACAAGAATTTTCTGTATGTCAGTATTTGTAGTGGTGCCTCACACAAGCATGCAGTAATTAAT